CTCAAAATTAAGTCTTTTGTTTTTTTTTATAATAATTAATAATATAAAAGTTATTTTAAATAAAATCTTATAATAGATGGCGCCACACAGAACTTTAACTTCATAAATTATGAGTGCTGGAAAATTGTGCAAGAGCCTTTTTCTTGCTTTACCAGAATAATTTTGTTATATTTCTTTCAAAATATAGTATAAAATTTCAAAAATTATGTTGAATTATTTTTTTCCTTAATTTTTTCCATATTTATTTTTTATCTCTGATTTTAATAAATTTTTTAGAAATATTATTATGAAAACATGACAATAACTTGAAAACTGCATTAAATATAAGAACTTCTTAATGGAAATTTGAATATATTTAATCACTACAAAGTTTTAAAACTTTTTAATAGTTTTTTGAATATAAGCATTTATCACTTTAAAGAAGTTAAGTGTTTAATGTTAATTAATTATAAATTTTGTGGTACCAAAAACAAATTTATACAATGCATTTAATTTTTTAAGAGTGATTTATTTAATTAAATCAAAGCTTTATGTAATATGATTCTAAAATGAAGTAATAAATCAAGCGATGTTAACTTTAATAACAAGGAACAAAATTAGAAATTAAATACATGAAGTTGAAAATTTAAAAATAGGCACCGAACTCTTTTAAAAGTAAATTAATTTAGTACAGAGTAAAGATAAAGAGATATTTAATTAAATAAATTAATCAGTTAAATACATCAAATGAACCGATAAAAGCATTTCTATTTAATCCTATGATACCATCATTTAATTTTGCTTCAATTGTTTACATAGGTACTAACGAAACTGTGAAGTAAAGACTTTCAAATGATTTATAAACTAAGTGGATTTTTAATATTTTATATTTTGTACAAAGTATTAATAAATTAAATTTTTAATAATTGTTATAGTATTTAAAATGTATTACTTTTCCAGCTCTGTTATATATAACAGATAAAACGTAATACATCTTCTTTGAAGTTTAATAACTCCTGTGCTTTTTGTCAATAATTTCTGAAATTTTGCAGGGAGGTTTGTGTATTAAGGGGATTGATGTTATTAAATTTTAGTGGTTAAAGGTCGAAGCAGTGGGGAAATAAAGAGGATATATATTATAGTAGGCCTATAGTAGGAGTAATTTGGGGGTGGGGATGGGTTTTATAAAAATTTGTAAATGCTAATAAGGAGTAAAACCGTCATTAAGTCCGGACTGAATGACGGTTTTACTCCTTATTAGCATTTACAAATTTTTATAAAACCCATCCCCACCCCCAAATTAAGCTATTTGCTATTATTTGCTATTTTATAATAATTAAAAATATAAAAAGTTTTTAAATAAAATATTATAACAGATGGCGCCACCCACAGTTTAAAGGTTGCCGGGAAAATTAAGCAACTCGTTGCTAGATTTTTTTACTTGATTTACGATATAAAAACACGTAATTTCTGAATAATAAATTATAAACAGTTAAATTTTATAAAATACTTTTGTAGATAAATGTTTAAACAAATAAACTATTAAGATATAACTATATTGGTTTTTAGTAATGTAAATATATTAAAAATTTGTAGGACTTTCTAATAAATGAACCATGAGTAATCTAATATTGAAGTAGAAATATAACTAAAGCCATTTTCCTGTAAACAAGTAGGAAGAGAGCTTAACGTAATCCATGTTAATCTTTCTTTATTGTTATTGCAGTAAAATAAGAGCAATTAAATGAATGTCAATGCATCAAATTAGTTAAAATGTTAAATAATGTGTTTAAATATATTTTACTGTGAGAATATTCTTATACATTGATTTATCTTTATTTATATTTAGTATAGTTTCCTTTATCATATTTACATATAAATATAAACTGTTTATAGTAATTAATAGTGTTTCGTGCATAATTTATGGAAATTCTATATTCGTAGCAGATTTGAATTAATGCTGATTTAGTATTAGAATAATTTAATATTGTATTTTATATATTCACTCATTTATTATATGTAAATGTAATTTATTTTCATGTAGTTTATTTCTAATTAATTCTAATAATTAAATTTATTAATCATATATGCTCAGTACATTTCAAAGCTATTGTGTATTTTATTGTTTTATATATATGAATAGTAAACATGTATTTATAAATGTAACATATTGATTGGATTAAAGAATGGTTTTGTTATATATGAATTTTCTTCTCTTAATTTTTTTTTCAATTTTCTTACTCAAATAAATAAGAATAGGCCTATATAATAAAACTCATTGCAATAACAATATATTTTTTTTAATTTCATTTTTATATTTTTTAATTTTAATTTTTTGTATATCATAATACTTATATGATATTTTAGTTTGATTAAAAATTAATTAGTTTATGGATATTGTTTTTCAAAATTGTAATTTTTTTCTTGCTTGTTTCTATTTTAATTTAATTATATATATATATATATATAAATTGTATAGAATGTCAGGCTTTTCACATTTTAATTTCTATTTTTTTCCTTCTAATTCAGAGTAAATATTAAAGTAACATTTAAATTATTTTCGATTCTTCCAATTAGTCGAAATATTCAACCATTACCTAAAATGATCATAAAGATAATTGTATTTCCTTTCGTTTACTATTTACTATAAATGACGTTTTAATAAAAATTTATGGTTGATTATTTCATTATTTCGCATAAACATTATTTTGCAAAATATAAAAATTAATTATTTTAAATTATTTTAAAAATTCTACATAACTAGATGAACTCGCGTACGAGTATTGTACAGTACTTACAAAACTTATGTACTGAACTTCTTAAATGTTATGTGCTGCCATCTGGCGCATATTTTCAAAATTATAATCGTTTTTATTTTATTATTTTATTCTTCATTACTTTTTATTAAAGTTTCTATGTTTGAAAATAACGTTATTTTCTAATATGATTTAAATTATTTTTATCGTTTTACGATTACCATAAATTATTTTTACTATACATTATATCGTAATTAGATTATGATCGCGCCGTATGAGTTTAATGAAGTTAGTTATTATATAATAATATTAATAGACTATAGCAGATATATAAATTTAATTATTGAAATATTTTGGAATTTGTTGACTAATTAATTCGAAAAATATCTATATATTATTTTAAAATAATATTTATATATATTTGTTTAGATCCACCAAGTACTCCAGTGCTACGTATATCATCATCATCTTCTTCTTCCGTTGTATTATCTTGGGAAATAAAGCGTGATAATCCAATTAACGGTGAGTTGACACATTAAAAATTTTTTATATCTTAATTGAGAGTTGCATTTAAAAAAATACACTACAATTTTAAAAATAAACTGAAAATATCAGAAATATTCAGATGTTTGTAAGAAGAAAAGTAAATAATGATTTGGTTTAGTAATCTACATATAAAATAACTATGGAAACAATCTATTCAAAGGGATTATTTGGAAGATCCAAAGATCCACACTTTATATCTTACAGCTAATATCCTACTCAGCTAGATGGGCTGGAAACACTAACTTTTACGATGATAGGCATTATCAGTCAGATAGTGCATAACTTCTCTCTGGCACTCATAAATAACTTGCTTCAGGTTTCTAATACAAACAACCATCGTAAAATCAGAATTCCCAACTGAAATAACTCAACCATCTAATGCACATTGCAAATATCCGCCATTTTTGAATAAAAATTTCAATTTTGGATTTATAGATGATAATATTCCTTTCCTTTTTTCTTATGTAACTTTATATTTTGCTGTATATTATTACCAATTGGAAACATTTTGAAAATTTACTTTTAAAAAAATGATTATACGACATAATTTATTTTATAAATAAGTTTTTGAATATTATAAAATGGATTTAATTATCGTCGCATTGTAATTATTTTAATATTTTTTCGACAATTAAATAGATTTTTAATTGGTTTTAATGTTAATAACTGTTCTTTTATCGTCACAAAAAATTAAATAATAATTAAAAAAAAAACAAAAATGCTTTTAAACTATAAATATATTTGATAATGTGTTTTTAATTACATCAAATTATATTATTTTTAATCACAGCTAAGTTTACATATAATGTTTTGGCATCTTTTCTTTATTTATAAAAGCTTATTTTGATATTTTATTACATTGTAATGTTCAAAACTTGTTTAAAAACGTGTTTAAAAACATTTTAAATAAAAATTGAAGAAGTTAAAACGATTATAATTTCATAAATATAAATGTAATTTCCGAAAAAAAATCTGTCTCGCTGTTATCTCTTTGTCATGCTCTACATATCATAATCTTCATTATAAAAAATTTAAGAAAATTAACTGAATTTTATTTTTATAGTAAAGATACTTTAGTAATATATACATAATGAATTCATAATCGATTTATTGGAATTCTTTGAACAAAAGTCGTGCATCTACACAATAAAAGTTCGAAAAGTTTCTTAATATACCTACATTTCTTCAAGTTCTTGAGGCAAAAGATAGATAATTCCAAACTAGTTACTGTAGGAAAATATTTTGATAAAATTTTATTTCTAATCACACTATAAATTAAATTATTCTTATCGTTTATTCGCTACTTCAAGATTAAGTAAATAAAATATTATCAAAAGCCTATGCAATAATCACGTGTTATGAACAAATTTAAATAGCAAAACTAACGATACAAATTTCATAAAATTATTAAAATGGTAATAACTTTTTTATTTTCGATAATGGAATATTAAAATAAAAATTTCAAATTTTATTCTTTCTACTTTGCAAATGAATGAAAACTTAAAAGTTTTCATCTGCGAAGATAAAAGACCAATATTTATATACATTGTAAGCAATATTGACACAAATTCTTCATTTAAAATCATTTTCTTTTTAAATTTTTATTTACTTGAATGTTCTATTAATAATTTAATTTAATCTCAATTCATATTTTTTAATATGTTTCTTTATGAATTTATATTTTCATACATTTTATTTCTCTGTATTTAATAATTTATTTTAAAAAAAACTTTAGTGCAAAGAAAAATAAATTTAACAAAATATCCTTCTCTTGGATAGTCTTATATTATTTAACTTTTAACAATTGAATATTTTTTATGTAATGTTTACAAAAACAGAAAATTGTTTCCTTTTGACATTTTTATATAATTATAAAGTATACAATAAATTATAAAACATTTTCAAAAAAATGTGTTTTCAATTCAACAATAGGTTTTCAGATTGACAGAAGCTTCAGACCGAAAATAACTTTTCTATAAAACTAGTGGATGACTGTTGAACTGCTGCCAGTAAAAATAATATCTATAAATTTCGTATTCTGTGCCACATATCTTATATCTAGGAAGCTCATCAAAGATTAATTCTATACATTTATTTGTTTCACTTAAGCCTTCGGCTATATTTTATTATTTTTCTATTAAAATTAATTATTAAAAATGATTATTATAAATGATGGTCTATGTTATATTATTTTATATAGGTTATTATTTATAATTAATACAAACTGAAGTAAATTATAGTAAATTGCCTTGAGAACAATTAATTGTGATTAGTAAGTTAATTAAATATAGATTTCAATGCGTATATTTCATGTAACTATTTTTATTGATCGTATAAAAGATATATTTAGGAAATTCTTATGCTTTTTCATCGAGTTCTACATTCTGATCTGAAGACTTATTTGAAAGTAAAATAATGAAAATTTGATAAATTTGTGTAATTTATCAAATTGTACAAATAAGCACGTAATTTTATAAATTTATACAATTTACATTGATATCAGGCTTTATATTAGCCTTATACTATCGGATCTAATTTCGAATCTTCTGATGTTTTATGCTTTTATTGTGCATGGTAATGGTCTCAGCAAGTCTTCGTTTTTGTACCCAAACTTCTACTATATTTTAATATCTGCTGCATGTATATTTCATAATGCTATCCAACTAGTAGATATTTTTTCATTCCTATTTTTAGTATAAAACTTCTGGATCAAATTGGCATTTTGATCTTCAATATACTGATATGGAAACCTGTTTTCATACATGTTTTCATGTTATTTTTTCTTGAAGTTTATAGATTACAATTAATTATTTGATAGATAAATATATTTATAGGGCCTATATATGCATTTTTCCTTTCTTTCTTTCCTTGTTATAGAAACAACTAAAAATATTAAAATGTCTTTTGCCCGTTTGGAATGTTTTTCGTCCAATTGTTCAATATTATATGTATTATGACTCTAAGACCGCCGTTTAATACCAGACTTATTACACCGAGAAAAGGAGACATGTAGATCAACAGGAAATTAAACTTTTCTTAATCAAATAAGTTTAGCAAGGAAATTAAACTTTCGTTTTCTTTTCTATGCACTGTACAGTACATGTTTTACTATGGTATGCATTTCGGAGCATACCCATCGTCAACCATTACATCGAATAATTTATAAAAAAAAGGTTTGACATATATACATAATAATTTTCATTATAACTTACAATAAAAAAGTTTTTCGTATAATAAAAACACAAAATCTAACTCACATTCTTACAAAAGTTTATACATATAACGAGCAATTATTTATTCTGACATCGACACAATGCAGGTTGCAATTTTTAATGATAGTTTTAATTTATTTAATTTAAAATACATGTTCTCCACCTCAAATTAGTAGTGTCTTGACCTTGTACACTATACTTTTCTATTAACAATGGAGTCGTGCCACTCATCTATTAACTGCTTTCAGGGAAAAACTTTTGAATTTGAATTCAAGAGAAAACATTTGAATTAAAATGATGTGACTTCCGGTTTTCATCTGAATTTCGTATTTGGTTAATTGGGGCCTCCTGCTCCAATGGTTTTCATATCTAATCTCGGATTTTATCTTTTTTATCGAGATTAAGAAAAGAAAGACGGACAGACGACAGTGAGAATTTATAGTTCTACAATTTTTTCAAATTGCATCCGAATAATAAATGGCTGTTTTAGAACCATGATATAGAATATTGAAAACTCTTAATTTCTTATATTTTAACTATTAGCTCATGTTTTTCTCTCATATTTCTAAACTTAACATTGTTTAAATTTAATAGTCCAGTTTAACATTTTATATATTTTCTAGTATAATATTTGAATAATTATAGTTTTTTTTTCATTTTTCCTACTGTAATTGGAAAATGAATGATAATTATGTAGTAGTTTAGCTTTTAAGAATTATCCATTGCCTTAAACAGCTATATATTTCTAAATTGTAACGTTATCGGCTCAGTTTATAGGTCATCGTAGACAGTTCTTTTGTAATGAATCTTTAGAACATTCTATTGTTAACTGTTTACAAATTTTAAAACATTTCATCAAAACATTTAAAAATTTTGAACAAACAGAAATCAATATTGACCAATATTCTGTTGGTTTCGATTCGTTGGGTCAAAGATGCGTCAGAAGGCAAAGTGGCATCCCACAATATCCTTACATTATCTCAAAAGATTCGTGTGACGTCCATATTAGGAAAATTCGTAACGTTGTATTGTTTCTATTGGCATTGTTTTTGTTCTTAAACCTCTGTACAAAATTTCTATTCGTATATCCAATGTACTCTGTCTTCCATCCATTGCTATCCATTTGTGCTGGAATCATGCAAACTCTTGATTTTCTTTAGGTTCTGTGTTTTATTCTTGTCATTTTTTAAAAACTTCTATATGTTGGATTACGTTTCTATTTATCTTAATGTCGCCTAGGTCAAGTGTCCAGGATAAAGAAATGGAACCCAACTGGATAAGGAAGATGGCTCTATCATTAGGTTACAAAATTAAAATGGTCAACACTCGCATACAGGCATTTCCTTCTTATGAACACAAACACCATCCAAAAAACTCAAAGTATACATTCTCTGCTCGACTTGAACCGATGCACAAACAAGTATAAGAAATACTTGACACTAAGATCATATACAAACGTACAGTAATTCCACATTATACCATTTTTTAAAAATGACAAGGACAAGATACCAGAAGGTAAAAAATCGACATTATAATTTCAACAAAAATGGATAGCAACGGATGGGAGACGACGTACATTGAATATACGATTAGAAATTTTGTATAGAGGATAAAGGACACAAATACAACACGAATAGAAGCAATACAACGTTAGCGAATTTTCCTAATATGGATGTCACAAGAATTTTTGTGACAATGTAAGGATATTGTGGGATGCCACTTCGCCTTCTCACGCATCTTTGACCGAACGAATCCGAAACCAACAGAATATCGACAGAAAAGTCATGGGAGAATATATGAACACTAAAATGAAAAATGTAGTCAAATTCACAACAAGAGGACGTTACTGAATTTTCACAAAAACGTTTATAACACAAGTAAAACGTATGTACAGTTACAAAAGTTCACAAACAACAATTACAAAACTTCAGGTGTAACAACAGTTCAAATGCTTTTAATCCACTACAACAGGTCCGTCGAAAAGGACACTTTGCGACGAACTCCTTCCAACGTTAGTTACCGCATAGCGAGGCGAAACAATCTTCTAGGCCAGCGATTCCCAACCTGTGGTACGCGTACCCCTAGGGGTACGCGATAGGTTGTTTAGGGGTACAGAAAAAATAATATATTATGTATCACAAACTAATAGTATAAATCAGTGATTCCCAACCCAGGCTACACGATAGGTGTTNATATATTTATTTATTTATAACAGAACCACCCGATCCTCCTACAGACGTTCGAGCTACAGATGTAAATAGTAGGAGTGCAACTTTGCGTTGGAATGTTGTTTATATAGGAAACAGCCCGATAGAAAAGTTTTTTGTAGAATGGAAACTAGCTTCAGGTAATATAAGAATTTTATGTGTAATTTATTTTTATAACAACAGATAAATTCTACACTTTTCAGGAATAACATCAAAATTTTATAATTTTAAAAATTTACGCTATAGGCTCTACGTTCAAGTGCTTAATACAATATGTAAATAAAATGGCATGCTTTGTAAAGAATATATAAGAAATCTTTAAATTGTTACTTAAATTCTTTTAAACGTATACGAATTTTTAAAGTGTTTACTAGTTATAATCCCCATAAGTTAATTACAAATATTTAATTAAATTATTTTACTTCGTACTTCGCACATCATACTTATTCGTATATACATCGTGTATATCGTTATATTTCATATATGTAATATTGCTATAAAACAATTTTTACTTTAAAATATCTTTTGGAAAATTTAATATAAATATTTCAAAGGAAATTCCAAACTGACACATTGTTTAACTCTTCAGAATTGCTGAATATACATTTTAAAAGAAACGTAAGCATTTATTATAAAAAAATAATAAAAAAGTTTACTATCGCGAATGATCGAATATCAAATTTTTTTTATTATTTTTTTAAAAGAAAATTTAATATTTCATAAAATTTTACTTAAGGCACTGCAAGAAAAATTTGCAATTTTAATTTATAAGGCTGCATGTATGTAAACATATACATAATTCTTTGATAATACATAAGATACTAATGGATTTTTAATTATTATAGAATCATGGACATCAGCTTTCGAAAAAGAAATATCTGGTTCAAATATGACAATGGTTATAAATAATTTACGCCCAGTAACTAATTATCATTTTAGAGTTTACGCGTCGAACGCATTAGGAAAAAGTTCTCCAAGCGATGTTCACTCGTTAACAACAGAAGAGGAAGGTAAATTTTTTTAAATATTAAAAATATAATTAAATCTTTTCTTCGTTAAGAAACACGAGTAATTAATATTTATAATTTATTAGTGCCAAGTTTACCTCCAACTAATCTTGAAGCAACTCCATTAAATTCTCACAGCATTAGAGTTTCATGGAAGGTAGGTACGTATTTTTTCTGGCTCCTGTAAAATTAACATCACAAAAACAATTTAAAGAGAAGAAAAGATAAAATTTGAGAGAAAACTTAATTTTGAAACACGAGATTTAATATTATAAATAGATTACACCTCCGAGATGGATTTAAACAAGTATATTATCTTGTCTTCAATTTTTTTTCCTTGCACATTTTTATATTAAAACTGTCAGGATATATTTTTTTAAAGTATTAATTTAAAATAATTGCATTTATTTTTACTATAGGAATTACTATTTTTATATTAATAAATCGCTTTGTTCATAATAATTCTATTGTAAAATGAAATTTCGATGCTAAAAATAAAGCAGTATCAATCCCAGAAACTTTAATACACTTGTAAATATTAAAACAGTTGATTTCTTTAACTGTATTGTAATTTATAATGTAAAAAGTTATCGTATTTTAAATAAAGTATTTAATTATTATTATTATTATATTACTTAATGTCCCTGAATTAATGTTTTTTAATAATGAAGTAGCTTAATAATAATAATAATAATATACTATAGTTTTAAACTCACAAGATTGGAATTTAAAATACTGCTAGTAGAGAAATACACAAAACATTTAATTATACACAGATCAGACTGGTGAGGGACTGGGCCCAAAATGCATATCTGACAGAAAAATTATATTAAAGAATTAGTTTTATTATATTTATTATTAATTTTTCTTTAATATTTTTAATAATAAAATTCTTCTAAAACAGTAACCATCCTAATTGTCGTGTGATTAGTAAATAGCAATTAATAATATAATAGTAGTAAGAAATATAGAATTAAAATACTTAAAATTTTCAAAATAAGCATTTATCTGTACTTAATATGAAAATAGAATCTAAAATTTTTAAATAAACAGATATAGAAAATTAATTTCTATTTTTGTAACATATTTTGATACATCTTACAGCATGTCTTACAACCTTATCAATATAATTAAAATTCAGAACAGAATATTTATTATAATAATTATAAAACTATTTCTATCTGTTTAAATTAAATACATTTGATTTCTTATTAAATTTCTGCATATATTTCATCTTAGGAATCAAATTTATTAACCAGAGTTCTGAAAATCAATGATAATTTTTGGATCCAAAAATTATCATTGATTTTATTAAATATAAATTATTATTAAAATTATAATAATTTTGTTAATAAATTATTAACA